CGATCGCGCGGTGAGGGCAGGGGTGTCGACCTCGCGGAGGTCCACGCGGCCGTAGGTTTTGTCGAGCACCGCCGACATCGGGACGCAGCGCGCGACGCCGTCTTCGATCACCATCACGGAAAGCGAAATGTCATAACTGCTACGACCCCGGTCTCCCGTTCCCACCCCCGCAACCGCCGTCGAATTCCGCAGGCGCCCCATTTCTTGGGCAGGATCGACGTGGCGCGCGGCACCGTTCGACGCGCTACCTTTACCGTTGCCACTCTCCAGGGTTGGAGAGGAGAGATCGGTAGAAGCGCGCACCGCCTCGAAGGCGGCCGGATCTGTTCCAGCGCGTTCGCTGATGCTGCGGAGCTGCTGGCGCAGGAAGCTATTTTCAAGGCGAAGTTCGAAAATCATATCCTCGAGCTTCTCTCGGCTAAGCGTCAGATATTCGTCTGACATGGGGATTGCTAAAAACAAGTTAAAAAATGAAAAGGAAGTTACAGCTTGCAAAGGGAAGATTTTAGAGAAAATTTCTAATATTATTCGGCAACATACAATATATGCATAAAAATTATACACATGTTGGACGGATGGCTCCCCATCGTACGCGATAACTGTAGTGAAAAGGGGCATTTGAAAATCAATGAGGTTTGTATAGGATGCCAATTTATTTTCGATACAACTCTTTCGAAGGAGCAAAATAAATATATCCATGCATGATTTACCTGCTAGCAACCCCTTAGTACACGCATGCATGTAAATAACAGCAAGCAAAAAAATATAACTCTATTCATGGTGAATTCCAAAATTGTGTAAAGACAAAAAAGAAGAAACAGAAAAATCGACAACCCTTTACAATCGCTCCCTCTGGGGAAGAGACACCCGATAAAATATTTTCCCTACATAGAATGTTGATCAAGTAAAGCACTTTAAACGCTTCGTATACTCTAAGGAGAGTGCCTTGTCATCTATTCAAACAGTTTTGTCTCCTGGTCGAACCAGTAAAAGCTCCAAACAATGCAGACAAACTTTTTTATTTTAGAGCTCATCGCTAATGATTCGATATGTTACTACCATAGTGCACATTTCCTACCTTTTAGATTATGCCAAGCACGCGATGTACGCTGAGCAAGGCATCTGACAGCGCCCGACGTAGCTCCTTTTCTTGAAGCACAGCATCGTGCGTGCGGGATTCGCGCTCATCGGTGTACGCCACGATTTTTACCAAATCTGAAAGCAATTCCCGAGTGTAGGACCACTCTGTCTTTGTTTCTTCAGAGGCACTCTCCTCCCTCATCCCACCACGCTCGATAGTCGAAGCTATCAACGGCGGCAGTGCATCGAATCTCTGGCAAATAGAAAGAAGGAGATCCCGCATCAATCTGGAAGTGTTGGTGTTGTGAGGCTCAACCAGATACTGATGCATAAGGGTCTGACTACGGGCGTGGATAGCATCTCTGACAACCGCACAGAAGCGTTTCCTCCCTCTAGAAGCATCTATGCTAAGATCGGATTTCAAAGATGGCTGGTCAGAGAGGTCTGCCTTGGAGGAATCCCATTCGTGGGTTGGCTCCTTCGCCAGGCGCCCATCAGGATCACTGCCATGCGCCCCGCCCCGACTTCCATTGCCCTTAGTAGGAGGCACTGAATCCATCATAGCCGCAGACCAGTCGTCAAGGGTTACCAGGCACCGATTCGCGATGTTCTTCAACAACGGCGACGTTGTCATGCTCGCCCTTACAAGCACCTCGGCAATTTTCGTGGCACCGCTGATATCGTCAAGGTTCTCCACCAGTTGCTGCGCAAACTCACACAGCGTATTCGTGAGGCTATCAAGCGTGTCGATCGCCGCCCGTAAAGAATCCGGCACCTTTTCGGAGGTGAGGCAGATCTCGCTATCGTAGCTCACCGCCCTTGTGCTGGCGAGAGATAGCAGCTGCGTGTAGAGCTCCACCAGGACGATGACCCCATTGTGGCGTGTCGAAGTGTTGCCAAGTCGCCTCTCAGCTCCGGGGGGAAGCAAACCAGACCGAATCACCACCCGTAAGTGCTCCAGACAGGTAGTGAAAAATGCACCCGATAAATGGAAGGACCCCCCAGAAGCCTGCCGCGCCAGCCGCTCCTCCGAGACGTGCTGTAGCTGCAGCAAACCACCAATAACTTTAATAAAACGCGTAAAGACTTTCTCCAAGAACGTGTCCTCTTCCTCCTTCTTCGCGGTACGTTTCGGGAAAGAAGGTGGGTGAGTCCCCTCTGTCAGCGTCTTCTCATGGCAGCCGATCTGAAAGGGGCAACAGAGGACCATCGCGTGCACCCACTCCAGCAGCTGCAGGAGAACATTTGGATGCGCACCAGGGGGTAATACATCTTTAAGACTGCAGGAGGCCGTCACCGCCGCCTCCTTGCTGTCCTTTTTGGCTGACGCCGTGTGAGGGAGCCAGCTCTTGAGCAAATCGTGTATCTTTGTTTCTGGCGGGAACTGCGGCCAAACGAGTGTGTCAAGCACGGCGCAGCACTCGTTGAACTCAAGGTACGGCCACATCCCGCTGTACACTTCCACAAGTGCCACCTGAACCTTACTTGGATAGTGGTAGGAATCTAAAACCGCATCACATGTAGTACTCACAGAAAGCACGTTCAGGAACTCATTAAAATACGTCTCGGCATCGTCAGCGTTACTGTGAGCTGACTCTTTCGCCCGAGATGCTTCACCAGCAGGGAATGTAAAAGTCTTTTTTCCCAGATTCCATAAGAAATTCAGGTTAGTCCAGTGGGTTTCCTCCAAAGGCGAGTCACGTTGCACGGAAGAAGAGCTCAAGAGATAAGCGCTGCGCGACCGCCGTAGCTTTCTTCGATGCATGCAGAAAGTATTGCACAGGGAACCAAGTAGCTCTGACACCACCGCATCGGTGCACTGCTTCCTCGCGGTGTGCTTTGTGCGCGCGTCGCGTAGAAAAATGCCATGCAGTGCCTGCCAAGCCAACCGTGTTCCCACCAGGGGGATGGTATCATCATCAAAATCTCTGCCGCCACCAAACAGCTCCACCACTAAGCTGTGCAGTGCACGAATGGCTGAGAGGGCGGAATCCACACCGCTAGTGCCGCGCACCACCACACGAGACTCCCCACAAAAGTAAATAAACTGGAAAAGCACCTCATACAGGAGTGATTTGTTGAAACACGTCGACGCGTTGACGTCCTTGTTGCGAGACTGGAGGGTGGTGCGGATGTTGCTATAGTGGCTGAGAAGAACCCGTCCAATAGAGTCCGTGATGATCACACGCATCTCCTCGATCTGCCGCGGTTCGGCCTCGAGGGAGTCGAGGAGCGCCGCATACCCTGCCTCCCCTTTTAGCTTCGGCGACACGCACACAATGCTTCGATCGCGGTTTGGCGACTCGTCTTGTAATGCAACGGTAGTGGTGGTTTCAGAAGGGAGGAAGAGGGAGGGATCTCCTGTGATCATACACTTCATCTGTGCGGCAAAAACCACATCCATCAGTGGTACCATCATATCCCGCAGCACGTAATGCCAGCAGTCTCCCGAAAAATATCCCCCGTAGGTTTGAAGAATGGAAAAGAGCGTTTTCTGTGCGCTCTGGCGAACCTCCTGTCTGGTGTCCATGCACCCCTCATCATGCAGGTGTAAGAGGAGAACACAGGAAAGAACATCCCAGTCGTGTTGCGCCATGACAGAAGCGGGGTTGTCAAGCGCAGCATCCATCAATTTACGACTTCCGTCTTGTCGAGAATCGGGATCGGAAAAATCCGAGGACATCGAAACCGAGACAAGATAATCTGCTATAGACCATATCATTTGTACCGCACTTAGGTTAATATGCAGCTGTTTGCTCTTGACGCCCCTGACATTGTGGGCAATAAAGGCACTCGCGCAAAGAATGAGTTCGCGGAGCTCATCCGTGTGCATGTTGTTGATGTAGTTCTGTTGGATCACCTCAAGGATGCGATACGCAAGCTGCACAATGTCCCCTAGGGTAGCTGTATGGGCTGTGTGCGGCAATGACAACAGAACGGGTAGGTTTGCGATTGACTCGGGCTGTACAGATGATACGGATACAGCTCTGGAGCTACGATCGTTGATCCCTGTTGGGGGAAGTGGGTTTTTCGTTTTGCTCGACAACAAGGTGCCCTGTTGCGGATTCTTATCATCACACGCCCCAGCTAAGGATGGAGTTGTCGCTGCAGTCGCGATAGAAGACATGGAGACCGTGGTGACGGCTTTGCGCAACATGCGCATAAGGTGCCTCCACGGTTCGCTTGAGATATACTCACCACAGCACTGCACCAGACAAAGTACCTCGCGAAGAGTCCCGATAGACAACCCAAGAGAGAGTCTTAGGTGAGCACTCTGGTGTGTATCTTTGTGTTGGGGTATAAAATACAACGAAGGCTGCTGCGAGCGTTGCTGAATCGAGATGGTATCAAATCCTTCGGATTCAACTTCCATCTTCCCCAATTTACTTCCAAGTAACTGCTCCGACTCATTATTTCCATTTCCCTCCCGTATGGGTATGTCTGAAAAAAAGTCATACATCTCCTGTATGAAGGAAAAAAACTCCACACCGCCCATCGCGGTACGGATGAGATTGTCTGACATCCTCTGCAGCATCTGTTCGGTGGTTATCCATTGCGCTTTGTCCATCGCCAATGCGTCGACCGATGACGCTACCCCCCCCACGGAGTCGTTCGATTGAAGAGGTGCAGTTGGGAGGGAGGGACTACCGTAGGCCGATGAAAAAAGTCTACGACTCCGCTTCACGAGCTTGGCAAGCCGTCCGGAAAGTAGCAGGCCAGCAGGCAAGGTGGGCTCCACCACCTCCGCGAAGAGCTCCCTACCCGTCGTGATGCCTCCAATCGCCGGGTTCTTCTCCGCGGCCGCGGCGAGGGCGGCGCGCAGTCGCCCACCCCAACGGCTCGCGAAGGCGGCCACCCCGGCAACATCCCCTACACACGCCATCAACGCGTGGTGAAGCTCATCGAGCCCGGCGGAGGGGTTG